CCTTGCCCTTAGTTAAGTAATAGTAATATTTATACAGTCCGAAAATTACATTTGGGCCTTTGAAGGCAAATGCAAGGCTGATGTGGCCCCTAATGAAAATGAGTTTGACACCCCTGTTTTAGAACAAAGTGTTTCCGAACTATGCTGGCTGGTAAAGAGACCTTTTTGGACGGTATGCTTCCTCTCCGACCCTGCTCTATGGTCAAGGGCAGTGAAGCTCCCTATCTAGAACCTAGTCTGGGACCCAGAGTCATTCTTTGCAATGGTTGCAGCTGGAAAAATGCTCAGAGCTTACAGGGAGGGGGCAGATCATGGCCAGCATTTATTTCAGGAGCCAGTAAACAAGATGAGGACCAACATGAATGGGGACTGAGGGATCCACCCTCCCGAGAGGGCCCAGAGCATTCCATTCCACTTTCTGGGAGACTCCTTACAGTGGAGCAACAGGTGGAGGGGCCACCTTATTTCTGCCTGGGAGGTAGTGTCTCAAAGCAATGATGGCCTTGGATAGAAATAGAGGAACTCAGGTCAGCAGAAAAAAAGAGTTTCAGGCCATGTCAGATTTCAAGGTGAAAAATCTTTAAAAAGCATTGAAGGAACCTCCTAAATCAGTAAAGAGGGGTTCCAGCTTGAACCTGTTCCTGCAGTCAGTTCCTAGAGGCCCCTGACTTTCTCTCAGGGGGACACAGATGCAGATCTTACGCAAATGAAGCTTGGATAGAGGGGTGTGTCCCCAGACCAGCAAAGAAATGAGTCCCAGTAGCTGCCAGTAGCCAAGGACCCTGGCAAAGGCCTGAAGAGACTGGAGGTTCAGTATAAGGATCAGGACCTCAGACCTACAGAGGGAGAGCCTGGGACATGGCAAAGTCAAGGTGAAGGCCCTGAGGGAGGATTGAGGGATCCTGGAACCTAGAACACAGTCAGTTCTGGGAATCTTGGGTAGAAGGATGCGGATTACTTGCACAAACTGTGGTGTCTCCTGACTTCTTAATTCTGGCCTTAGAGACTCTGTGGTATTCACATAAGGGGCAGGGCCTCAGATCCGCAGAGGGTGGGGCCAGAACCTGCCAGAAACAAGGTTAGACTTCTGGACCCCATAAGAGAGGGAATCCCACAGAAGCCCAACTTTCTTCTAAGCTGTGGGAAGCAGCATGACAGATGACCACATGCAACGTGTCCTGACTTCCACAGTGGGTCTTAGACTGGGAACACGGATAGAGTAGGGCTTCTCATTTGCTGAGGGGAGGGCGGAAAACCTGCTCACAGTCAAAGTGAGAACACTGAAGAAGAATGACAGAACAAAGACCCCAGACAGAATCAATCCGCCAAACTTCACAGGAGGATAACCACAGGGGGCGTTTCTTACTTCCACATCCAGGTCTCAGAGATTCTGGGGGTTTGGTATAAGGAGCAGGACCCCAGATAAGAAGAGGGTGGGCCCAGCACTTGCCAGAGTCAAAGTGAGGATCTTGAGGTAGGACGGAGGAACCATGAGCCCCAGAAGAGGCAATCCTGAGAGTCCCCAGGGTGGGAGGAACACACGCTAAGTCCCCTTACTTGTGCGTTGAGTCTGAGAGAATTTCAGGGTTTGGTATAAGGATTAAGACCCCAGATCAGCAGAGGGCAGGCCCAGGATCTGCCGGGGTCAATCCGACAAGCCTCATGGGAGGATAACCACAGGGGGCATTTCTTACTTCCGCATCCGGGTCTCAGAGACCCTGGGGGGTTGGTATAAGGCGTAGGACCCCAGATCGGCAGAGGGTGGGCCCAGCACTTGCCAGAGTCAAAGTGAGGACCTTGAGGTAGGACGGAGGAACCATGAGCCCCAGAAGAGGCAATCCTGAGAGTCCCCAGGGTGGGAGGAACACACGCTAAGTCCCCTCACTTGTGCGTTGAGTCTGAGAGAATTTCAGGGTTTGGTATAAGGATTAAGACCCCAGATCAGCAGAGGGCAGGCCCAGGATCTGCCGGGGTCAATCCGACAAGCCTCATGGGAGGATAACCACAGGGGGCATTTCTTACTTCCGCATCTGGGTCTCAGAGACCCTGGGGGGTTGGTATAAGAAGTAGGACCCCAGATCGGCAGAGGGCAGGGTCAGAACCTGCCAGAGTTAGGGTGAGGACCCTGAGGGAGTCAGTCCTGGGAGTCCTGGGTTGGGACTGAATTACCACACAAAGCATTATCTCCTGACTTCTTTATCCTGGTCTTACAGACACTGACGGCATCCCGTGAGGCGCTGGATCTTAGTTCTACAGAGGGACCTCAGCTTGGCAGAGGGTAGGGTCAAGACCTGCCAGAAATAAGGTGAGTCCCCTGGATTCCACAACAGGGAAACCCACAGAAGCCACCTCTGCTCTCAGGCATGGGAGACGCTGTGACAGATGACCACAAGCAGCAGGACCTGACTTCCACAGTGGGTCTTAGTCTAGGAACACGGTTAAAGAGTAGGGCTTCTGGTTTGCAGAGGGGAGGGCAAAAAAGCTTCCCAGAGTCAAGGTGAGGACACTGAGGCACCCCGGGCCCCAGAACATAATCAGTCCAGCAAGACTCATGAGAGAATGACCAAACATGGCATTTTCTTACTTCTGTATCTGGGTCTGAGAGAATCTCAGGATTTGGCATAAGGATTTGTGCCCATATCAGCAGAGCACAAGCCCAGGAACTGATCAAGTCAATGTGACAAGCCTCACAAGAGGATGACCACAGGGGGCGTTTTTTACTTCCACCTTTGGGTCTCAGAGACTCTGGGGGGTTGGTATAAGGAGTAGGACCCCATATTGTCAGAGGGCAGGGCCAGAACCTGCCAGAGTTAAAATGAGGACCCTGAGGGAAGACTGAGGGACCCTGAAAGCTAGAACAGAGTCAGTCCCAGGAGTCCCATTTGGGGGCCGAATTACCACACAAGGCAGCATCTCCTGACTTCTGTATCCTGGTCTTACAGGTGCTGAGGGCTTCCTGTGATTCATGGGACCTTAGTTCTACATAGGGACCTCATCTTGGCAGAGGGTAGGGTAAAAACCTGCCAGAAATAAGGTGAGGCTCCTGGATCCCACAACAGAGGGAAACCCACAGAAGCCACCCCTGCTGTCAGCCATGGGAAACTCTATGACAGATGACCACATGCAGTGTGCCCTGACTTCTACAGTGGGTCTTAGTCTGGGAACACAGATAAAGAGTAGGGCTTCTGGATTGCAGAGGAGAGGGCAGAGGAGCTTCCCAGAGTCAAGGTGTTAACACTGAGGGAGACAAAGAAACCTGAATCAGACAACAGAGTCAATGCATCAGGCCTCACAGGAGGATGACCACAGGGGGTGTTCCTTATTTCTGTATCTGGGTCTCAGAGACCCTGGGGGTTTGTACAATATAAGGATTCTCAGACTATCAGAGGATGGTCCCAGCACCTTCCACAGTCAAGGTATGGCCCTAAGGTAGGACTGTGGGGACCCTGGTCCCCACAACAGTGAGGAGCCCACAGAAACTTGCACTTACTTTCAGCCCTGGGATTTCTGGAGTAGCTTTCCTGAGGTTACCACTCTATTTGCTCTTGGGAATTTGACAGGTGGGTCTTACACTTAAGGGTGTGGGATATGACCAGCAGAACAAAGGCACTCAGAGACTATATTGAGTCAAACCATTGACCATGAGGGAAGAATGAGAGTAAATTCTACCCTAGAACAAATTTGGGCCTCACAGAAATCTGCCCCACTTCTACTTTCAGCTCTGAGAGACCCAAGACAGAGCTCTCATACTAAGAGCACCCTTATTTTGGCTGGGGTGGTGGGCCTCTGGTAGGTGAGAGATTTGGACTGAGGGGACCACATTTAAGTCAGTAAAGGGACAAATCCCAGGCTCTGATTCCTTTTAAGTTGTGGACTCTGAGAGAAGACAAAAGAAACCCTGATGCCTAGAACATATGGAGCCCAGATTTTCCCCTGCTTCTGAATCTTGCTCCCTTGCAGGACTCAGAGTGAAGACTGAGGGAACACCTCATATGAGAACAGATGGAATCCCAGCCCCACTTCTGTCAGCTATGAGAGGAAGCAGAACATGGTGGCTATTTGTGTTGTCCATCACTTCCTCCTTCAATGTCTCATGAATATGAGATTTTAATACAAAGGAAAGTGGCCTAAAGTCAAGAGAGGGAGTTATCCTAAACCCTGTCAGTACTGAGTTAGTACTGAGTTCAAAGTTAGTACTGAGGGGATTTCTCATCCAGGACTGATGGATCACACAGAGTTTGGCTGTGTCTTGCTATGTTCCTCATGAGAGGTTCTGGGCAGGTGTGGCCAGGTGTTGGGGCCCCCTCACTTTCTTCTGTTCAGTATCAGGGGTATGTAGCCTTGTTCTGAGAGTTTCGCCTCAGAGCAGCAAAAAGGAGGTCACAGATCTTTCCAGGGAAAATGTGAGGACCCTGAGTGATCCCAGAGGAGACCATCTATCCCAGAGCAATGGAGACATCACAGAGTCTTGGCCTCTCTCTTGTCGGCACTGGAGGCTCATGACTGTGCATGTCCTTTGGACTCTGAGGTGCTCCCTCACTTCCTGTTACAGGGGCTCTAGGAACCAGGAGGCAAAAGATTTCGTCTGTGGTGCATGAACACAGGTCACAGAGTTGAGAAGATCTAGGCAGTGACAGCAGTCGAGGTGAGGTGCCTGCCCTGAATGTGTCCCTAGAGTATCCTTCATGCCAGAATAGGGGAGACCGCACAGCACCTGACCCCATCCCACTGTAGGCCACAGAATCTCAGTCTGTGACAACTGCACCTTGACCATTTGACTTCCTCCTTCAGGATCTTAGGGGACAGGCCACTCAGGAGGAGAGACCTCAGTGAGGCCCAAAACACCCCTAAAGAGGATACCTCCAGGTCACCTTTGTCAGAGCTGCCAAGGATGTGTATCTCACCTGAGGCCACTTACACTTCCCTTCTCCCCCAGGCCTGTAGATTCCCATCACACACCCTCTGCCCATACTGCTTTGGCTGCCTGACACAGAGTCATCATGCCTCGAGCTCCAAAACGACGACGCTACATGCTTGAGGAAGACCTTCCATCCCAAAGGGAGGCACAGGGCCGTGTGGATGCACAGATTCCTGAGGCTGAGGAAGAAGATTCTTCCTCATCTTCAACCTGTTCCTCCTCTTTCCCCTCCTCTTCCTCCTCCTCTTCCTCTCTCTATCCTTTGGTTTCAAGTACCCCTAGTACCCCAGAGGAGGTTTGTGGTGCTGCTGGGACAGCAAGTCCTCCCCAGAGCCCTCCAAGTGCCTGCCCCTCCACCACTTCCATTGCCACTGCCACTCCATTGAGCCAATCCAGCAACCCAAAAGAGGAGGGTCCAAGTACCTCTGAGGCCCTGCCACACACAAAGGTTTTGCCAAGATTTGTGATTGATGATAAGGTAGCTGATCTGGTTAGGTTCCTGCTCCTAAAGTATCGCAGAAAGGAGCTGACCACAAAGGAAGAAATGCTAAGTAGCATCATCAAAGAGTACCAAAACCACTTTGCTGTAATCTTTAGTGAAGCCTTAGAGTGCATGCAACTGGTTTATGGCATTGATGTGAAGGAAGTGGACCCGACCAACCACTCCTATGTCCTAGTCACTAAACTGGGCCTCACCTATGATGGGATGATGAGCAATGAGCATAGTATGCCCAAGACTGGCCTTCTGATATTTATCCTAAGTATAATCTTTGTGGAGGGTAATTGTGTACCTGAAGAGAAGATATGGGAAGCACTAAATGTAATGGGGTTGCATGCCGGGAGGGAACATTGCATCTATGGGGAGCCCAGGGAGCTCATCACCAAAGAGTGGGTGCAGGAACAGTATCTGGAGTACCGGCAAGTGCTTAACAGCGATCCTGCATGCTATGAGTTCCTGTGGGGTCCCAGGGCCCACGCTGAAACCAGCAAGATGAAAGTCCTGGAGTTTTTGGCCCAGGTCAATGAGACTGACCCCAGATCCTTCCCACACTGGTATGAAGAGGCTTTGAGAGATGAGGAACAGAGAAACCAGGCCACAATTGACACCACAGATAATACTACTGCCATGGCCAGTGCAAGCTCTTGTGCCATGTAGTGGAGGGCCAGACTGGGCCTAAGGGAGTCATAGTGAATAATATCTTTGTGTTTCTGTTCTATTGGGGGGACTTAGAAATATATCTTCTATTTTGGTACTTTAAAATGTTACTTTAAGTAGAATGTTTATTAGCTTCATAATTGAAGTTTACAAATGACACAGGTTAAGTAAAAAATGTCATAGGTTACAAATGACATATCCAGGCTAAGAGTTTTGCTATTTTGTAAAACAAATTGAGAAAACTTACATTTTGTTTGTAGCCTGTAATGAGGTAATATAGCATTGGAATAGGATTCTTTTTGAAAATGTGACAGAACTTAGTAAACTAGAGAAAAAAATTAAATAGGTAATTTTTTAATTCTTGTATTATTTTTAGTCTGTTATTCTGTAACATACACGCACACACACACCCCTGGATTTTCTTTGCTTATTCAAGAATGTAGAAAAATAAACAGTAATAAATAAAATGTATTCTCACTGACTCATTTGTACCTTAAATAAGGGGTCCCCAACCTTTCTGGCACCAGGGATTGGTTTCATTGAAGACAGTTTTTCCACAGATGGGAAGCGGGTACAGGAGGCAGAGCTCAAGTGGTAATGTCAGTGAAGTTTCACTCATTCGCCTGCCCAGGGGAAGACACCCTTCCCCTGGCCTTCATGACCCAGGGTTTGGGGACCCCTGCCCTAGATATTCACTGAGCTTTTATCCTCTGGGTGGCCCTGTGTTAGGGCCGGGGGAACACTAGTATAAGCAGGACACACCTATCCATAGAATGACAGTGTTAGAGCCACAGTCACATAAGGAAAGTGTTGAGGTGTCCCTTGAGTCCTACAGAATAGATAAAAGAAGGAGAGAGGTGGTGGGGTGCCAGAGGAGGGCACTCAAGTGTAAATGGCCTGAGCCAGGGCATTCTGGGGTTTTGGGAAACTGCAAGTCCCTCCGTGGGGGTTGATTGTAATGAAGCTGGGTGATAGCAGTGGCAGATGATGTGTCTTGAGCGTGGGAGGAAGCCTGAAATGAATTTCTCTGAAGTTCTTATTGGATCATGGATGAACGAAAGAGAAATCACCTGGTTAGGAAGAAAGAATTTCCAGCACACAGTCCCAGTATCATTAGACAGTGCAAACACTAGGAGTTTTATATCCATCATTTCCACATATTTCTGCAGAACTATGGTTACTGAGCATTGAGTAACTGGATGGGCACTCTTCTCCTGGCCTGGGACACTCAAAAGTCCACAGCAGAGTTAAGTTTGAATGTTAATGATCTTGAGTGTAATTTAACCAATTATTAGCAAGGACTAGATTTTGGGTGTGGGTGAAATAAAGGGTTTCTTTGGATGTAAGAGCAGCTTGGAGAGAGGAAAAGTGTTGTTATTTGACTCTTTCTATAAGCTTTGTATTGTATCCAGCTGGGGAGGCTCCTCCACAACTGAATTTGAACAGACTTTCTTTAACTGTGAAAATTTACTGAGTGTTATTTAGGGAACATTTTTTTTTTTGCCAATTGGGTATTCTGTGTCCTACTGAGCTGAATATTCTCTAGTATAACCTGGATAACTGACAACTAAACACAGTGTCAGAAGAGAAAGTGGAAGGGACTGGGATCAAAACGATATTAGAAATAATTGCCATTCATCAAAGTTCTGATATATATCAGGCACTGAGTGAGGCGCTTACAAACTCCCCATACATTCTTAAGTCTTAAAAGACAGGGTTTATCAAACACACTTACTTCACAGATGAAGAATCTGACATCAGCAGGGCATGGTAATTTTCCCAGGATCAAATCTGTGGGATACTTGGAAAGCAATCTTAAGAGGGAAATTCATAGCATTACAGGTTTATCTTTTAAAAAAATCAATAAAATGAAAAAAGTCCAACAATTTAACTTCACATTTAAAAGAACTTAAAAAGGAGCAACAAATACAGCCTAAAATGTGTAGAAGGAATGAAATAATTAAGATCAGAGCAGAAATAAAGGAAACAGAGTCTTAAAAAATAACACAAAAATCAATGAATCCAAGAGCTGGTTCTTAAAAAGGTAAAGAAGATGGACAAGCCTTTAACCAAGAAACAAGAAAACAAGTAAAAAAAGAGAAAAGACCTATGGAACTAAAATGAAAAGTAAAAGAGGAGCAATAACAACTGACATAAAAAAAATAGGGTTTTAAGAAAATATTACGAACAACTATATGCTAACAAACTGGACAACCTGAATGAAGTGGATAAATTTCTAGAAACATAGAATTTTCCAAAACTAAATCAGGAAGAATCAGAGAATCTGAATAGACAGATTAGACCTAGTGAAACTGAAACAGGAATCAAAAACAACTCCCAACAAACAAAAGCCTTAGACAGAATGACTTCACTGGTGAATTTTACCAGACATTCTGAGAACTAACATCTCACCTTCTCAAAACTATTTCATAAAATTCAAGATGAGGAAAGTCTTCCAAATCCATTTTATGAGACCAGAATTATCCTAATTCCAAAACCAGATAAAGATACTACAAAGGAAAGAAAATTACAGGCCAATATCCTTGATGAACAAGGCTGTTAAAATCCTCAAAAAATATTAGCATACCAAATACAGCAATGCATCAAAAAGATCATACAGCCTGATCAAGTAGGATTTATTTTGGGCATGTAAATTTTGTACAACATTCACAAATCAATAAATGTGATTCACCACATAAAATGAAGGATAAAACCACATGATCATATCAATAGATAAAGAAAACACATTTGATAAAATCCAGCAGTCATTTATGACATAAACTCTCAGCAAAGTAGGATGAGAAAGAACATGCCTAATCATAATAAAGGCCATATATGACAATCCCACTGCCAGCATCATACTCACTGGGCAGAAACTACAAGTGGTCCCCTTAAGATAAGGAACAGAGAAGGATGTCCACTTTCACCTCTTTTATTCAACAAAGCACTGAAAATCCTAGCCACAGCAATCAAACAAGAAGAAGAAATAAAAAGCATCCAAATTGGAAAGGAAGAAGTAAAACTGTCATTATTTTCAGATGATATGATACTATACATAGAGAACTCCAAAGATGCCACCAAAACACTAGAACTGATAAATGAATTCAGCAAAGTAGCAGGATACAAAATTAATATAGAGAAATCAGTTGCCTTTTATATGCTAATAACAAACTAGCAGAAATTAAGGGAAATTAAGAAAGCAATCCCATTCACAATTGCTGCAAAACAATAAATTACCAAGGAATAAACCTAACAATCAAGGATGTAAAAGACCTGTACTTGGAAAGTTATAAGACACTAAAGAAAGAAATAGAATAAGATACAAGTAAGTGGAAGGACACACTGTGTTCACAGATAGGAAAAATTAACATCATTAAAATGTCCATATTATCCAAGGCAATCCTTATATTAAATGCAATTTCTATCAAGATTCCAACGACATATTTCACAGAATGAGAACGAATATTTCAAAAATTTATATGGAACCACAAAAGGCCCCTCATAGCAACAGCAATTCTGAGAAAGAAGGGCAAAGTTGGAGGAATCATGATACCTATTATCAAACTATCCTATAAAGCTATAATAATCAAAACAGCATAGCACTGGCGTAAAAACAAACACATAAATCAATAGAACAAAATGGAGAGCCCATAAATAAACCAACATTTTTATACTCAATTATATTCAACAAAGGAAGCAAGAACATACAATGACCTAAGATCATTCAATAAACGATGTTGGGACAATTGGACTGATACATGCAGAAAAACGAAACTAGACCACCGTCTTATTCCAGTCACAAGAATTGATCAAAGACTTAAATGTTAGACCCAAAACCATAAAAATCCTGGAAGAAAACATGGGCAGCAAAATCTCAGACATTACTTGTAGCAATCTTTTGCTGAGTATTTCCCCCAGGCAAGGGAAACAGAAGAAAAATAAACAAATCAGATTATATCAAACCAACAAGTTTTTTCACAGCAAACGAAATCATCAACAAAATGAAACTAAAACCCACAGAATGGGAAGAACATATTCATCGATACATCTGATAAGGGGTTAATATCCAAAATTTATAAAATACTTACAAAATTCAACACCAAAAACACCCCAACACAATTTAAAAATGGGCAAAGGACCTGAATATATGCTTCTACATAGAGGACATACAGATGGCAAATAGACATATGAAAAGATGCTCAACATCACTAATCATTGGATAAATGCAAATTAAAACCACAAGATACCATCTCACATCTGTCAGAATGACTATCATCAATAAATCAACAAACAAGAAGTGCTGGCAAGGATGTGGAGAAAGGGGAACACTTTTGCACTGTTGGTGGGAATGCAGACTGGTGCAGGCACTGTGGAAAGCAGTATGGAGATACCCCCAAAACTAAAAATGGAACTTCCTTTTGACATAGAGATCCCAATTATGGGGATATATCTGAAGGAACTCAACAAACTAATTGAAAGTATATAAGCACCCCTATGTTCATTGCAGCATTATTTACAATCACCAAGATATGGAAACAACCCAAGTGTCCATCAATAGATGAGTGTATAAAACAACCATGGGACACTAACACAATGGAATACTTCTCAGCCATAAAAAAGAAAAACAATATGCTTTGCAACAGTTATGAGTGGACCTGGAGAACCATATGCTAATTGAAATAAGTCAGTCAGAGAAAGACAAATACCATATGATTTCATTCATATGTGGAATCTAATGAACAACTTTAACTAACAGGAAAATGGGGACAGATGCATAGATGGAGAGCAGAATGACAGCATGGAGGGGAAGTTAAGGGGTAGAGGGATTGAGCAAAAAGGGAAAAAGACTCATTGATATGGACAATGGTGTGGTGATTGCTAAGGCAGTGGAGTATAAGGGGACTAAATGGTAATGGAAAAATACAATAAAGATTAAATTAAAAACTTCTATCACCATTAGTAATATTACTGTTCTTAAAAGTTTAATTATTTCAGCGAGA